AAATTGTAAATACAAAATGTTAACCTCTAATTACTCTAGTGGGGAGACAAATTGTAAATACAAAATGTCAACCTCTAAATACCCGAGAGTGGAGACAAATTGTAAATACAAAATGTCAACATCTAATTACCGTATTGTTGAGACAAAATTGTATATAACAAATGTTAACCTCTAAATACCGTATTGTTGAGAATAAAATTGTATATACCAAATGTCAAACTCTAAAAAAAAAACTCTAGAGTTGAGACAAAAATGGTAAATACCTAAAGTCAAACTCTAAATACTCTAGTGTTGAGTAGAAATTGTAAATACAAAATGTCAACCTCTAAATACCCGAGAGTGCAGACAAATTGTTAATACAAAATGTCAACATCTAATTACCGTATTGTTGAGACAAAATTGTATATAAGAAATGTTAACCTCTAAATACCGTATTGTTGAGAAAAAATTGTATATACAAAATGTTAACCTCTAATTACTGTAGTGGGGAGACAAATTGTAAATACAGAATGTCAACCTCTAAATATCCGAGAGTGGAGACAAATTGAAAATACAAAATGTCAACCTCTAAATACCGGAGAGTGGAGACAAATTGTAAATGCAAAATGTTAACCTCTAATTACTCTTGTGGGGAGACAAATTGTAAATACAAAATGTCAACCTCTTAATACCCTAGTGTTGAGACAATTTTTAAATACCAAATGTTTACCTCTAAATACTCTAGTGGGGAGACAAATTGTAGATACAAAATGTCAACCTCTTAATACCCTAGTGTTGAGACAAATTTTAAATACCAAATGTTCTCTAGTGGTATCTTTCGTCCCTCTTTTTGAATAAGGCTGACATTTTAATTCGAAACAGATCACCTAAGAACCCATCCGAATTGCTACTACTTTCTTGTATATTCTTTAAGACCGGGAATTAGTGGTTCTATACCCAATAGATTCAAACCGTGTTTTCTCTTCAATGATTCACAAAGGGTTATGTGTCACCTCTTGTGTTTTCGGAAAAAGGGCATCATTTTCTCTAGCTTAGTGCACAGTATTATTCAGAGAATCAAACCATTTTGACGGACATATTTCTTTTTCTGATTTTTTCCACTTTTCGATAATATAATGGATTTTTGCAAAGATTTTAAAGTTGGATTTTATTTAATTGCATTCACGATCCGATACCAACTCTTACACGAATCGATCGCAATGTTTGACCACTGTTAATACTTCATTCTTTCGTATAATTTGTTTCGATATACCGAATGACAGCCGTGTTAAAGAGCTACCTGACATTTTCATTAAATATTACAATCAAATATCATATGATTCTCACATTACATTGCTTATATTGCAAATTAGGTGATAATTATTCCTATATGAACAAACTAATAATTTGTCGTACAAGTGCATTTAAAGTTAAAGTACGACTTGAAAAGCTATGAAAAACCTTTGATTATACTTGATGACAAGTCAATGAAAAATGTGCAAAAATATAGAATAGTGTTATACAGTAGTAAGCATTTTTTGATTTTATTCGAGCGTCGCTGGTGAGTCTTTTGTAGACGAAAGTGCGTCTGGCGTACATAATTGTAATCTTGGTATCTATGATGAGTTTATTTGGTTTCTATTACTGCTTTGGTTATCTTCCAGATATATTTACATTCTATACACCCACGAAGGCGTTAATTTAATATACACCATGTATTAATATAAAATGCTAGATTTCAATAATTAAGAATAAAGTCTTGTAATGTAGGCGTATCTATGGTAAAGCATGATAAATACTGGATGTCCAATCTCATTGTATTACATCATGTTTAAAAACAGAAGTGATGTAGTCATTTACCTTTCGCTTTGACTGAAGTTGAGACGTGATTAATGTGCTCAGTAGCCCAGCTGTATTATAAATAATTACAAACTACTCATGCAGTATTCCCAGCTCAGCTAATTAAGATCAATACCTATATGTACATTACTAGCCACGTGATAGAAGACGTTGAAGACGATACTGAATATGTTACTGTTGCAATCAAATTTAAATCTTTATGAATTTCAATTCCCAATAAAGATTAACACTTTCTATCAGATTAATTAGGGTCAATCAATTCAGGTTACTATCTAGACGTATATTAAATGTAATTGTAAAGTCCCATGTGGTGCTTATAGACGCTCAATAATACTAATCCTAAAATTGGATTTACACTTTTTGTTCAAATTTTGTCATATAGTCATATGCATTATTCGGAAGTATTTTGTCATAATCCCAAAAAACGTCTAAGTGCTCATTGAATTTGAAATAAAATTTGATAAATAAAATTGTCCAAATCAAATCTGATATGACATAATCCTCTTCATATAACGTTGACATGCAAAAATTACAGCAAATAGGTCCTGACTATACGCGGTGGTTGTTGCTCTTTATTGAAAGTCGTACGGTGAGCAATAGTTGCTAACATCCACGTCATTTGTACTCTGCTGGATAGTTGTATAATTGGCAATCGTATCAAATCTCTATATCATATACTGTACTATTTAAATATTTAAATACGATGACAAAGAACAGACAATTTATTATGTATAAAAAAACTATTGGTGTAGTTACTATGTAGTAAAGGAATAGAAGATTGAGTACACTTAAAAATACAAAACTATAAACTAATGAATCGTTTTCACAAGGGTAAATAATTGTGTATCTATACTACTAATATAACGAGGTCCAATTTGTTAGCCAGCATGACGTAAAAACGACGAATAAAAGAATTCAACTTCATATATAACTTATTTAGGACAATGGTGTTGATTAAACATTAAACCATTCCAGGCCCTTTTGTTTGCCACATAATTAATATTACCAATAATTAACAAGTTCCGGGTCGAATCCGATACCGATACCGATACCAATAGTATATGTCGTATGTAGTTTCCGGTTGTAGTAAGAAAACAGGACGAGTTCAAACAGAAAAATTTTGAAACCAAAGAAAACTGTGCACCTTATAATCAGCATGACTTAATCAGATGACATTACGAATACTGAAAATACAGGCTAAAATAAGGCGTAGATACTTTAATTCAGTCACGGACCCGCGTGTGTTCTAGTATTTTATTAAAGAAATGTCGTGTGCAGCACTAATTTCTCCTGTCCAAAATTTCAAATATTTCGTTGGAAAAAAAAGTGGTCTCGTGTACATTCCAATACTTTTTGTGGATTCCTGTTATCCTTGTTATTAGTATTACTGTGGATTCATTATTATTCTTTGGATACCAATTTTCGTGGATTTCGTGGGTTGAGGTAAACCACGAAATTATATGTTCAACGAAGGACAAATTTTCTAAAGGTTTGTATAAAGACTTCGGCAAAACCACGAAATTAAATGTCCACGAACATGCAAGTTTTCCTTCATCCACGAAAATTGGTGCCCACGAAAATAAATGAATCCACAGTAGCTTTATTTCCGTTTGGTTTTTGCTTCTGTTTAAGATATTCTATTAGTAATTTCTGGATAAATATTTCGCAAAAACATAACATTTATAAAGTGTTAACTTTCTCACAAATTATATTAACACAAAGTTTACCATGGTGAATTATAATTAAAATTTAGATACTTATATATTGGCTATTGCTACGGCCAGAAATCACCATTAAATTGTAGCCAACAAAAGACACAAATCAATAATAAAATTTAACATGATGTATTATACAATTTTACAAGAAATATTACACAAATAGAAATATCAACTTAACTCTTAAAATATATGTCCGATCCTTTGTCTTTTCTTTATCCGGAATTCTTCTCTTAACTGTATCAGAATATGTCCAATAAGTTCACAATCTAGTATGATGTAGTTAACGTAAATAAAAGTGTCAATCCAACAACTCCAGAGAACACAGGTATTTTAATGTCTATCTGTCTAATTTCGGTGTCTATATATATAGTTGTCACTTCTAGAACACTGTAGAAGGGAAACTCCAAGAAAAATGTAGAAAGGAAACTTCTAGAACATTGTAGAAGTTTAAATTACGCATCTTTGATTATGATCATTCCTCAATTATTATGTAAGTCAAATAGAAAGTTCTAATATTCCATCAGTATCTATGATTGTTCTAGTGATTCCTAAACTGCACAATTATAACATTATTTTGTAAACAACTATAAACATCTTATAAGGCCACACAAAACGAATTAGGCCAATATAAAACACTGTAATGTGTAATAAATGCAGGGAAATATATTTACTATTGATATAAGTGACTGTTATACACACTTTCTAAATTTATTACAGTTTATTAACAAACCAAAGGTAACAGTACAAAGCACAGTGTGATTTTCATCATTTCAATAATCCTCGTCTCGAAAGAAAAACGTTGAAACAAAACAGATATGATTTATGTGTGAACAAATGGTCTTAAGGACTTTATAACAAATAATATGCTCACAACAATTCCAAGCACGATGTGTGTTGTTTCTAAGACTTAATCCAACCGTATAAAACCTTTGGAACAAAATCTGAAGAATTATTTCGCACACAAACATAAGGAAACTATATATTTTAAAATTGTTGTATAAATGGTATATGTATAAACATCTACTGTGGTAGCAAATGAGGGGCGCAACTATTAAATAGTATGGAATGGATAGGATGATAATTAACAATTGTCACATTCTGCCTTATAAATATCTGCAATCAATATATTTGTGATTGTCGCTAGAGAAGCCATCATATGGAAAGGTATATAGTATGTTCAATAGTAATTTGTTAATCAGTGCTGAAAAGTAGCTGCAAATAAATTGTTTGATTTGTGTATATGAATAAAAGGAGATGTTTTGAGTCAATACTTAGCAAAAACGAATCAAAGAGGGCCAATTAAACAACAGACTAGTGGAATAATTATCTAGCATTTCATCTTTGAAATAACGAATTGTTTGTTCTTCAGAACAAATAGACATTTTTCAACAATTACGTACTTATATTTAATGCATAGAAGTGGTGTTTTGTGTTTTAAAAAACAGAATACTGTTGTATACAAATTGAATTCAATAAATTTAAATTAAACATCCAGAACAGAACTATTTATTGGTTGTATATATTGCTTATCAAGGATAAAAAGAATAATGCTTTATGTTAACTTATCGATGACAGATGTCACAACTGACGCAAATGTCAGCATAGGGCTGGAAGGAGTTTTTACCGGACGACCAGAATATGCCGTAATCGTTCCAACAATTTGGGCTTTACTCGTCATTCTCGGGGTGATTGGAAATGGTTTGGTAATATACACACTGAGTAAAAATGGAGAAACAACAGCCACAAATTGCTACATTGTTAACCTAGCTATCGCTGATCTAACATTTCTTGTAGTTGTAATCCCTTTCACTGCTTCATTTTACGCAACACCAGTCTGGATTTTTGGAGATTTCATGTGCAAATTGGCAATGTATATGATCTACGTAAGTATTATTTTGTTATAAAACTTGTTATATACATGAGAATATCATTAAAAAGAAGGAATGATCAGGCCCCTGTTTTGTTCCCTTCAATTTTAAAATTAAAAAGTATTATATATCTATCAAATGACTTACTACAGATGTTCATAAAACATTAGTCTGTAGGAAATCAGTATTTTTAGGTTTGAATTTTGTCTTACATATTTGCATTTGGACATCAAACTTCTTGCATTCAGTGCACAAATGTAATCACTGCAAACATAGCCTCATTCAGAAGTTTCAATTTTGCAATTTCAGGGGCAAAATAATGGCTATTATCAAACCTCCACCTTTGAGAAAGCATGCAAATTTGTAATTAAATAATAATTAAGTAAGACGGGGTCATGAAATACCTAACTTAAATCAAATTTATTGGCCTTTTAGATTTTCAATGCTAATATTACTTTGTTTATATATTCTGTATCTTACGTTCGGAGTAAAGACTGAATTGTTCCAATAGTATATCATTTAAGTTTAGCCTGGGTCTTTTGACCACTCAACAGGTACTCTTTATCGTTTTACTAAAATACTCTACGATTCAATTTAAGGCTGTAAAGTTAACTTTCCACTTTAGCAGCTTATAGCCGCCGAATTATTTCTCGAACTGATGTTTTCCATTAAGTGGCATAACATGCTCGAACGACTTATCGCGACACGACTGATTGAACTAAAGATATATATATATATATATATATATATATAGATAAATAAAGGTAACAGTAGTATACCGCTATTCGAAATTCATAAATCGATTGAGAAAAAAACAAATCCGGGTTACAAACTAAAACTGAGGGAAACACATCAAATATAAGAGGAGAACAACGACACAACAGAAACACAACACTAAAATGCAACACACACAGAAACGAACTATAATATAACAATGGCCATTTTCCTGACTTGGTACAGAAAATTTTAAGAAAAAAATGGTGGGTTGAACCTGGTTTAACCAAACCTCCCGCTTTTATGGCAATGTTAAATATAACATTAAAATGACAAGATTACATGACAGGACTACAATACAAATAAATGGGAGAACATACAGGACAGAGACACACACAAATAATAGCGACCAAAAGGTACCAGGCTTATAATTTAATACGCCAGACGCGCGTAAATTTATAAAAATGACTATATAATAGATATAAATGTTAACACCGAAGTGGTGACTAACTATAGAATAAAAACGAATACGTAAAACAACCTGAATCAGCACATAAAAAAAGGCACAGCCGAACAACGTATTATATGTAAGCCGAAGAGATCGACGCACAATGTGACGTCACATATAAATTTCTATAAATTTCCAAAAAATAGGATAGAGTTCAAGATTAGGTTTGTAATACTGATATAACATGTATCAATAACAATGAAAATTACAATACTTATTAATATACAATTGTGGTAGTAATTAGATAATTAATTGTATTATCAAGCTATGTCGGTATTTCTTCTAAATCAAACTGTAAACCAAATACATCGTATAAATTTAGTTGACCCAAACTAAAATCTTATAAATGAACTGGGTGATTAATTATCTTTACCGTAACACAGGAATAGAACAGTAAAAAATAATAAGATTTAAAACTACAAACGATAAGACATTTGACAAAATCCGATGAGAATAACAAATATAATATCAAAACTAAATACATAGATTTTGGATAGAAAAATACCGTGACACGTCTTATAGCAATGCGAATTCACACTCAGCAAAACAGACACAAAACATGTGTGTATCTTATGTATTCAATGTTTTTATGCATATTCGGAACTATCCAATACTGATATTTACGCCCACACGGCGAAAGCACATAATATTAATGTATGGAGTCATTTCGTACCTTTTAAGTGTATATTTTAGGCAAAGTTGACATTAGATGAATATGGCATAAGATGAATATGGCCCTATTCTATTGAGGACCTTTTTGGTCATATAACTCCTAACATTTCAGCGTATTAACGCATCCTTGGCTTTTAAATGTTCAGTGTTAAGCGTTCCTGGTGAACGTAAATCCAGAACAACGCTTTGGATGCACGAAATATTTCAAGTGTGTATCTAAATTAGTGTTTAGTATTAACAAAGCTGATCTGCTTAACTTCATTTGTCTGTAGCGTCCTCAGTATATATTTTCTAGATGTACTTGATTTTATGGCAGTGTTCATGCATTCAAATGAAACTCGTGACCCCTGAATATGTTCCTGCAAGGGTTGTAAACGTAGAGAACATTTCACGAGGCACACGAATTTAATGTCCCCTTTCTGACCGGACGTTGCTGCGTATTTAGTTAGCACTCCATGCTTACTAAGCCATGTTGGCGTTATGGGCCCGCAGATGTTTTTCAAATATGAATATTATTGTGCAATTACATGTATTTTTTAAGACAAAAACAACCTTCAAATGGATTTATACGAAAAAGTGTGTCATGTGGGTTATTTTCTGTTTAATAGTCTGTATGTTAATGTTCATATCAGACAAAGGTCCTGAAATTATTGCAATATTTGTTTTGCACACTTTTTTTTCTCGAAAGAACGTTGTGATGCAATTTTACTAAAACAGTATGCAACAAAGCACTATTTTAAAAAAATATTTTGATAGATAAACGTCAATGATTTCAGAAAAGGTATCACTTAAAAGGATGGGACTTCTATTTGTCTCATGCATAGCTCTAATTCCCTGTCGGGATTTGGCTATACTTTTGGTCTAGATTTCTTCAACTCTTAAAAGTTTGTACGAGCTTTTGGATTTTTATACATTTTGGTCCGAGCATCACTGAGAACTCATTAATTGTTGAAATGCGCATCTGGTGATGTACAATTGGTACCTGTAATGTTTTTGCCATTATAGACTAGATTATAACATTTTGCCACTATAGACCAGATTATAACATTTTGCCATTATAGACCAGATTATAACATTTTGCCACTATAGACCAGATTATAACATTTTGCCACTATAGACCAGATTATAACATTTTGCCACTATAGACTAGATTATAACATTTTGCCACTATAGACTAGATTATAACATTTTGCCACTATAGACCAGATTATAACATTTTCGGCATTTGTGTGGAATATTTTATAGCAAATAAGTGCATTAACATAAAACAAATTATATTTCTCTTTTAAAACAACAATGTATTAAAAGTCAAATCTATGAAAGATTCTGATTCCAAACATACTGCTGGACAGGAGAGGGGATGGCCATATCTATATGTCATAGTCAACTTTTGGGTCAAGATAACATTAGATTTTAATAATTGATTGACGTCAAGAAATGACGTGTGAAGGACAAACAAACATGATGCAAATGTAACAAATTGTTCCAAATACGTAGTAGTTATAATTCCAATCGATACCATGTCCTCTGTTGTCACTAGTACCCAGTTTGGAATCTGTTCATTATTTTTTCACAGCTGTCCGTCAAATTGCCGCCAGGTCTTAGTCTAATTTATTTTGTTATGAGTGGATATCGATTTTCGTTAATCATTGCCCATTGTAAAAAAAAACATTGATCTAGGAAAGGTGATTTCTGATTAATTTCAATTGCCAGCTAAACCCGGTATGTTACATGATGAGGTTACAACAATGTTAAAGGGGCATCAGCTGCGATTTAAACAAAAAATTAAATTTATTTTGGTGTCAAATATTTATTAAAGCGGAATATTCCCTATGTGCAGTTTGTTTGGTTCTATTTGATCAAAATAAGATCAATAAAATCGCAAATTTATCATTGACTTGCAAGTCAATAATTCAATCTCATTTGAACACGTATTCATGTAACCCTAACTTGATCTTTAGCTAGCTGAAGATTGGATATGCATGCCCTAAGCGTGTTCAGTTATTGGAAAAAAGAAAAGAATGTCAACATTGAAAATTGATACAATGGAGCCAACATAAAAAAAAAGATTGTTTTGACCGATTCGACTTACAAGAAATCATCCATATACAGATAAACCGATGATTTACATTTAAAAATAAATTATGACATGAAATCAAACAGACCTGGAAAAAATCGTAATTACACAACTCCGCGTGCTTCTCCGTCTATTTATATTTATATTTACATTTATGTTAATATGGGGTCAAATGACAATCGGCAGTCTTCGGAGGTAATCTCGAGAGTTAGTTAGATGGCGTCTTGTCTAAAATACGCAAAGAATGCTCATACATTATCACGAGTCCATGCATTGTTAATTGTTTCTTTTGGACTATTTCTAATTTGGATTTATGTTTCAGCATGTTATGTATCAACTATGAAAACTTAAGTCAAATCGGTGATACATAAAGTATGGAGAAAAAATAAAGAATAAAAATGACACTTTGTAAACGAAGGACTGCTTTAAAGTTACTTCGGTATTTTTGTTAATATATTTTTTTGGATTGAAGCCTCCATCAGAAACGGTAAATATCAAACCCCTGAAAGCAATTGATGCAATCTCACTTGAAGATCAATGTTGACTGAGGGAGTTGGATCCTTAGTTTTTGTATAATTTCTTATTATTAAAGATTTGTGAATTAATGCGTTGTTCGGTCACTCGTAGAATATTTTTCTACATTTGTATTCTTCGATTAGTTATTCTATAACTAATAATGCATGGTATCAACAACTTCAGTGGCGAAGCAAACATGTTTATTTTTAGCTTATTATACCCGATGTGACTAACATGCCATGAGCATTGGTAGCGATTTAGTTTTAGATACTAAAAATAACATTATCTATTTGGTGTGTCCACAGTGCTAAGATTTGAAAACAAATGTGCAAGAATAAAAAAAGGAACTCCCATGACAAAATGTTTAAACCTCTCATGATAATATGTTTAAACCGCTCACGACAAAGTGTTTAAACCGCATATAAAAACACCTTTAAACCGTTCATGAAAACACAGCCAAAGCTCTCATGTTTGAAAGAAAGAATGTATTATTCGTAGTGGAGAGAATGACCCAAACAAAGTAAACAT